AGAGGTGAGGGTCTAGTGGTTAGGGCAGTTTCCAGGGGGTCAGGAAAGTCTTTCTGGGGATGATCATCAGACATTAAACCTGGCCTTGATAAAATGCCACTTTGAGACATTCCCTAAGGTGCTGAGGACAAGTCAATGCCACATGTCCCAGGGCGTGGACCTTCTTTCTAAATTCTACACCAAGCCAAACGCAGCTGTTATTTCAAGAGGTATCTTGGGAGTCGTAAGAAATTCCAAAAATAGGGTAAAATATCATTTCTCTTGGGTTTAATGGAAAGTAAAACCTTGATTAACTGAGTCCTTCAAATGACTAGAATTTTACACGCACCGGACTTTGGGGTGAAAGAAGCAAGTCACAAAAGGCACAGGTCGATGGGATCGTTTTTTGAAGAAGCACATATGGTGTATCCTAGGAACAATCCCCCAGAAGTGCAACCCCCATCTTCCTGTGGCCCCACTCGGGTTCCAGGGCCATAATCTGTCCCTAAACTGGGAATCCTGCCTCATGTTCATGGCCAGATCTTTTCTTCTGCTTGAACTCTAAGTTCTTTGAGGGCAAGGGACTATATTTTATACCCACTTTTAACCCACACAGTAACAGGTCTTTGCACATCATAGGGTCTTAAGTATTTGGCAATGGATTAGAAAATGCTGTCTATCCTCATTAATGTCAGGAGTACGGTTAGAATATTTTAGGTCACTCTCCTGTGTTTGTTGTTCAGTGGATCTGGGTTTGCAGTTCTGGTCTACCCGTGCCTGGCAGTGTGAACTCGGGCAAATTACTCTCAACCTAACCTGCACGGTTGGTCTAAGAATCAGTGGGTGAATATTTAACATATCTGGCAGCAGCTCTTGTTCTTATTTTGCTTGTCTTGAAAGCAGAAGTTTCCTGGCCTGTTGCTTATTATTCTGCAGTTGAGAGCTCTCGTATTTTCGTATTTTCTGGAATTACATTTCCATTTGGGAGCTTTAGCTCCTAGTACCTAAGGTTGGCTTTACTGTGGTGGGGGGTTGGGGGGAGGAGGAGCTCTTTGACCTGAAAGATGAGTAGATGCTAAAAAAGCAGAAATGGGGGCGCCTGGGTGGCTCAGTTGGTTAAGTGACTGCCTTCGGCTCAGGTCATGATCCTGGAGTCCCGGGATCGAGTCCCACATCGGGCTCCCTGCTCGGCAGGGAGTCTGCTTCTCCCTCTGACCCTCCTCCCTCTCATGCTCTCTGTCTCTCATTCTCTCTCTCTCAAATAAATAAATAAAATCTTTAAAAAAAAATAAAAATAAAAAAAGCAGAAATGGGTGGAAAAGGCATTCTAGATAGAAAGAATAATAGCATGTGCAAAGGCCCAGGCTCATGAAGGAGAGTGACATGGAGGAAGTCGATCATGGCTAGAATGAGAGATGTACACGATGGCAATGAGCAGACCGAGGCTAAGCATTTGGGCAGGAGCCAGGTCAGGAACAGCATTGTGTGAGATGCTAGATTTGGGCTATCAGTAAACATAGTCAGATTCACCTATCAGCAAGCTGCTTCTCTTCTTCATTAATTTCCTGTTTCAGTGAGTCTCTGAACCAAAATTATTGTCATCTCGCTCTCTCAAGTGAATAAATAAATCTTTAAAAAAAAAAAAAAAAAGAAGTGCTGAGCACAAATGATGGGAAAGGCACCTGGAAGTGAAGCAGGAGGAACAGCATGAGAGATGTAGGGGGTAGGAATAGACCACTTTCCCAGCATGTGACTTCTTACCAAGAGAAGCACCTTACTTAATTCACAGTGGGACTCGGCTAATGTGGCCGGCAGACATCTCAGCCTGTGGTCCCTTCCTTCTGCTCTGCCAGGTGGGCAGTTCTACATGCAGGAATGTAGTTGATGTTGGTTTGTCCCAGGCTTTTTCGTGACTTTTTTTTTTTTTTTAAGATTTTATTTATTTATTTGAGAGAGAGAGCGCAGAAGTGGTGGAGAGGGGCAGCGGGAGAGGGAGAAGCAGACCCCCTGCTGAGCTGGGAGCCCGATGCGGGGCTCGATCCCAGGACCCTGAGATCAGGACCTGAGCCGAAGGCAGACGCTTCACCAACTGAGCCACCCAGGCGCCCCCTTTTTCATGACTTCTCATTTTGTCCTCAGGGTTTCCTCAGTAGGGTGAATCTCTAATATCTTTGGCCCTCCACTGCAGCACACGAATGCCAGGCATTGTTTGCATTCTCTTCATTTCTGTGCTAATGCAGCATGCACCGAGCCAGATGTTTTCAAACAGTCTTGAAATGTGTGAGCAGGGTTCGGCAAATATGATGACAAACAGCACTTGTCCTGTTTTCGGGATTGTTCTCTGCCCGTAGCCAAGCCGAGGACTGGGGACGTGGTAAGAAGGAGCAGTCTGTCGGCGGCAGTTCCTCTTCTCCTGCTTGTATTTGTGCGTCCGAGGGAAAACCAGGGTTCGGCGTGTCAGGGCGTTCTGCCCATCGTCTGGGACATACCCGACAGCAGCAGCCAGGCTTTGCTTTTGCTGCCCTGCCCGTGTTTTCTAGCTCCTTCTCTCTGCTTGTCTCTCTCATGCTGTTCCTCCTGCTTCACTTCCAGGTGCCTTTCCCATCATTTGTGCTCAGCACTTCTTTTTTTTTTTTTTTTAAAGATTTATTTATTCACTTGAGAGAGCGAGAATGAGAGAGAGAGAGAGAGAGTACATGAGAGGGGGGAGGGTCAGAGGGAGAAGCAGACCCCCTGCCGAGCAAGGAGCCCGATGCGGGACTCGATCCCGGGACTCCAGGATCATGACCTGAGCCGAAGGCAGTCGCCCAGCCAACTGAGCCACCCAGGCGCCCGTGCTCAGCACTTCTACTATTGTTCTTCCTGTCTGGTTCTCTTAAATTCAGCCCACACCTTTTCAACTCCACATCCTGAGTCAAGTGTTTGAAGGCTGTTATTTCATGTTAATTAGAAGTTCTTTTTCCAGCCAAGAAGCCTTGCATGCAACCATGCCCCCAAGTTGAGGCTTAGAGACGAGCTCTGGCGTTTTGTAGTTTGGGTGCGGTTAAGGGACAACTGGACAGGTGGAGCCACACCGCCACCGCACGCAGGGCAGCCTTCCCCACGGCCTCACCCCTCCCCAGGGCGGGCAAGCTCCAAGCTTGGCTAAGCCAGAAGAGCTCAGCGTGCCTTCCGGAGAACATCACCACGGTCCTAGGTGGGGTCTCCCTTGGCCAAAATTGCTTGGCAGCCAGACCCAGGAGGGTCTCTGGCGTCTGAATAGGTCTCTTCCAAATGCTAAAAGGTGACCCTTTGTAACGCATCTCCCAGTTGACCCAAGTTTGGTGGGAGATTCTGGTGGAAAAAGGCTCCCATCACTTTCTGGACTGGTGAAGACATCAGCAAGAGTTGGCACCTGGCTCCTGAGAAACACCTCAGGGAACTTCCACTTCTTGAAATGTTCTTGAGCAGATGTCGAGCCCTGTTCTCACATTTGGCCTCACCCTTTATCCCACCTGCTTGTAGATCAGAGGCTACATCCCTGTCCGCAGACCCATGCTCAAGGAGGCTGCAACCCTGAACCCTCCAAGAGCCCCCAGCAGCCCCTTGGGCATCTTGTGTTCCATTTGGAGGGAGGGGGTGGTACTAAACCATTGCAGAGCTTGGGCAGTGATGCATTTGGACCACCCCCTTTCCCTCTCCCACTGAGAAAAAAGAGACTTTCTTCCTCCAAAATGCCTTCAAATGAGGCCATTACATCATGCATGGTTGAGGAATTCTCTTGTTACTGGAAACACATTTCTTAGTCTTCTGTGGTTTGTAGAGAAACTAGTCAATGAGCCAATGTGGCCGCAGAGCGCAATCCTAGGCACTGTGGAAATGAGAGGTTGATGTTCTTTTATGGAAGGGGGATAAATACCACACACCAAGAAGGGTTATTACAAAGATCACCTTGGTTGTGTTTGTGAAGTGCCAAACACAGAGCCTGGCACAGAGAAGGTCTTTAATAGACAGGAGCTTCCCCCATTTCTTTCTTCTCTGTATTATCATTAACAGCAAATACCAGCTAATGTGATAGAGAGTAGAATAGACAGAGATGTAAGCATGGTATTGTTTGAGGAGGTGGGGTTGTAGCTGGGTTTAGAAGTTAGGAAGAATTAAGGGGAGCAGTAGATTCATACAGATTAAAACTGAGGACACGGGGCACCTGGGTGGCTCAGTCGTTAAGCGTCTGCCTTCGGCTCAGGTCATGATCCCAGGGTCCTGGGATCGAGCCCCTTTTCAGGCTCTCTGCTCGGCGGGAAGCCTGCTTCTCCCTCTCCCACTCCCCCTGCTTGTGTTCCCTCACTCGCTGTGTCTCTCTGTCAAATAAATAAATAAAATCTTAAAAATAAATAAATAAATAAAACTGAGGACACGACATGTATATTCATAGACTTAGGAAAGAAACCTGGCCTTTGGCCAATAAATTATATTGGTAGGAGTGAAGGGTCCAGAGGGATTCATGGCACAGAATGGGGTGGCGAAACAGGAGTGGCCAGTGGGCACGGTGCCTTCGAGGACTCAATAAGGAATTTTGACTTATTATTACAAGCAGTAGGGAATCACTGTAGTTTCTTGAGCTTGGACTGAAAATGATTTTAGAGATCTTCATAAAGAGTTTCTTAGAGCTGGGCAACTTGGGGGAACAGGAAGACCACCAGAAAGGTATCTGGGCTCATGCTGGGGCTTCACAAGGATAGTACTAATGAACTCAGGGACTAGGGGAGCTGATGTCTTCAGAAAGGCATAAGTAGACTTTGGGAATGGGATAACCAAGAGGCCGAGAAAGAGAGAAGGGTCTAAGCTTAGCTCACAGCAGGTCTGGGCAGAGGGTAAAGCCATTGGTGGTAACAAAAATAAGAAAGGAATAGTTGGTGATTATGGAGTGAGCTGGTGAAGTCCTAGCCCTTCAGTAGCGGGGCTGGGAAGATCTGAGGAGAGAGCCTGACCAGATGCCCTCTTCTTTATGTGCCTTTTCAAAGCTCACAAGACTTACTCACCTTCACATGATGAGGATCTTGGTGGAAGGGGATTTGTAGATCATTTATATCAACTGAGTCACGTCTCCTGTGTAAATCTGTAAATAAATCAAGATTTGCTTTTAATGAATTTTTGAAGTTTTGCAAATAAATTGGTTTTGTTTTAAAAAGCAAGCTCTTAATAAAATTCCTGCGCTCTCAACAAAATTAGCCACTCTGATGCATTTAACCTAATCACAAATGATCACATTGGGTGCACCTGCATTTGCCTTCAATCTACAAAGCCATATATTGAACTGGGAGTTCTGGAACCTTTGGCCCTTGCTGCCCCTGCTTCCCTCGGATCAAGCCTTTGCCCACCCCATTCTAGAATGAGTGCCGTCGCTTCCGGGTCTAAGCCAGGCCCCATGGGTGGTTCTGGTGGGGACTCTCTGGCTTGAGCTGTGTTTTTTTCTCCCTTTGTCTCCCCATCATAGACTACTGTTTTCCAAAGTGAAGTTGGAGTCACTCTGCCGGGGCCCGGATGAGGCGCTCCTCACTTGTAAGCACATGTTACAAATATGGAAATCCTGCTACAACCTAACCAATCCCAGGTAAGAGGCCAGTGGTGCCTGTTTTACGTGGTTTTTGCATGGGTCCCCGCCTCCTGGGGCCATGTCTGATGGGCGGTTAGCACGCAGGCATGACCCCTGCTGCCCTGTGCACCTCCAGGTCCTCGTGAGCAGCAGATAATAGTGGTGGAACCCATACACACTCCATTGTCAGGGGCTTTTCTTCCAGTGGCTGATGAAGCCCCCAGATCGGGAGTTTCTTTTCCTGTTGCTGCCATGGTGACCCACAAGGCCCAGTGACCGATTGATCACCACCTGATTTCTCTCAACCAGCCATTCATTTAAGTTCTTAGACAAGTCTTACCATCTTTCTGGTAATTTATGGATAGAGTAGTCAATTACATACTCCAGACTGGGGGGGTCTTAGAATAGTATTTAAAAGACCTACAGAGACAGCAGGCCATGTCCTACTAAGGAGAGTAGAAATCACTATGGGCATGATAAAGTATAATTTTCAAACAGTTAAAATCATGACACAAACATATAAAATAAGCATGTATCAGAGGTTTTATTTACCTCATTAACTAACGGGGGAACCAGTAAAATGTTAAGACCCATTCAGAGAAGAATTTGAAAGATAGATAAACGGAAATGAATTTGCAGAGAAATGCAAAAACAGTATCCTATAGGACAATGAAATATATGGTTTGGGGTTGTCTTTTTACAGGGTGGAAATCAGTTGTATCTCATTCGCCTGCAGAACAGTAAAATGACCTTAATCAGTCGGAGTCAGTCAGGGGTGCCCACCCAACCGAGGCAGATAATCGGGGAAAGTCCCCCTAGTTAACCCCCAACTCGCCACTGAAAGACACCCAGTAACCTGTTGTGCCCATTTTCAAGTCTGGTCAATTTTTCCTGGCATCTGTTTAAATTACTAAGTGTGTCCTGCCCTTGGAAGGAAGTCATTTAACGAAAAGGGACCTAATAATTCAAGTGCATTCAGACAACTACTCATACACTTGGAACATTTTTCAAGCTCATAGCAAGATGTACGGACAGCCCACACAAGGCTCTTAAAAGTCAGGAGCCTAAAAATATTCCAAGTCAAGTCGTAAATGTGTACTAACGGAGGATGTCACTTGCCCCATACAGCCCCCCAGGAGGCGACAGGCTGGTGGCCGTGATGTGCAGGGCCCGGGGAGAGGAAAGGTGGGATGGGCGTTAGGGAAGCAGCAGAGGGCAGGAGGGGTTCCATGTGGGATTTTATTTCTGTGGTTAAAATAGTCAAAATCAGGGGCGCCTGGGTGGCTCAGTCGTTAAGCGTCTGCCTTTGGCTCAGGTCATGATCCCAGGGTCCTGGGATCGAGCCCCACATCGGGCTCCCTGCTCGGCGGGGAGCCTGCTTCTCCTTCTCCCTCTGTCTACCACTCTGCCTACTTGTGCTCTCTCTCTGTCAAATAAGTAAATAAAATCTTAAAAAAAAAAAAAAATAGTCAAAATCAGGGCCCTCCGTGTTAGGGAACTGACATCCGGCAGAGTTGTGACCACAGGACCTTGTGGGCAGTGCAGCTGGAAGGGAGGGGGCTCACGCTGGCCAGCCCCGTGCCGCTTGCAAAGCTGGGGTCACGAGAATTAGCCAAGAATCCCTATCACAGCCACGGCCTGTGGCACGTGACCGCCCCATGCTCCATCTTCCTCTCGGTGAAAAGATAATCCTGAAACTGGCCTCTTCCCTTTTGCAGATATGTTCTGAAAATAAAGATCATTTTAATTTTTAAAGAATCCTACTTTTCTAAGTCTGTAAGCAGAAATAGAAAAGGCCCATGTTATGTTCCCGAAAAGCCCCCCACTCCCGGCCTCTCAGAAGCAGCAGGATTTAGGGAAGAGTCTTGGCCAGAAGCGCCGCTAACAGGAGATCCTCCCCAGGCTGGTTGCTTCCGTCCTGGAGCATTCCTTTGCCCGTACCCCCGTTCGAAATGAGAAAATAAACCCATCAGCCTTCATGTTGCCAATTTTCCCTCCGTTCTCCACACTTCTCCCACCTCCCCACATTTCCTCCCACTTAGCAACCAAGAATATTGAATGTGAGGAGAAAAAAATAGCAGAATTGGAAAGCTTTTTAAAAATACTTAACCAAATGCCTGGGCTGTGTCCATACTTCCTCCGTTTCCTGAAGGATCTTGCAGGGCCAGAGCAGGGAGGAACCTGGCTCCAGGCACAGAGTCTGGAGGGGGTGTGGGGGTGGGTGGAGGAGGACCCATCATGGGTTTGGGAAACTGCTCCTTCCAGCGACTCCCAAAGCCTTGGGGGAGGGGGAGAGGGGTGGTAATTGAGCAGCCCCTTAGTAAGGAGCTTCCTGATTGTTTTTTTTAACTTTATTATTTTCTCTGGGATATAAATAAATGTTGCTCCTGTAGGCCTTACCATTGTGCAAACTTAGACATCCTCCCCAGTATGGTTGGGTTAGACATGACCCCAGCAGAAGAATGAAGCATGAAGAGGGGAGGGCTGCGTCTTGACAAGGGATGGCATCCTTCCTTGTCCTCCAGATAAGGGCAGTTCTGGGTCCAGCAGCCTCGAGTCCATGATAAGGTCACGCATGGTTCTAGAAGAGGGTAGAATCGCATGAACAAGTGCATGAGAAGCATCCCTGCTTAAAAAAAAAAAAGTGCAATAAAAACTGGGCAGAGAGCATCTTGGCAGGTGGTTGGTTTCTCCCCAGAGAAGGTCCACGCTGACTCCCTGAGTCGGGGCGCCCTTGTTTCTGAGCGTGCTCACTCGTGGAGGGGCTTCTGCTCCGCCTGCCAGCGCTCCCCACCATCCCCCACCCCCTCCCAGCTCCACCCTGGGGCTGGCCCAGGCCCCTACCGCGGTGAGATGATGAGGCACAGAGGGAGATGGGAGCAGTAACAGGCCATGTGGAGAAGAGACCGAGCTTTCCTGTTCCCTGCAACTCGTTCCCGCTTGATCTTTGCTTGAAGGAAGATCACACTGAGCTAGTTGCTGAACCGAGCCTTAGACAACTTGCAAAGAGCGTTCCACCTGCAGGCTGAGAATGCATCTCTGCTATGAGCAAAATGGTGGGTGGCGTTCTCTCGAGTATACATTTGGCAAAGGTGTGTGTCATTTCAGAAGCCTGGATTTATTTGCTGGGTCTGCAGTTTTACTTGCCTTTAGGAGAGAAAGCTGTCTCTTGTTTCATCTCCTCTCTCTCAGTGAAGGAGCAAGTCCCTTCAGTCCTCGTGCCCATTGGCTCAGCCGCTCAGAACGGCGGGACTGGTGACCAGGGCCTCACCAGAAGGTTCTGGCAGCCTCCTGGAATGGACAGTCAGCGTTTCAGCTGGGGATGGCAGCACCCTTCCCTGGGCCATCCGTGTGTGCCTTATCTTCAGCCCCTGCATCAGCCTCGTGAGATCGAGACTCTTCTTTCCATTTTATAGAGAATAAACAAGGCTGAATAACTTGCCTAAATTTTCCCGATTAAATAAGCACTAGAGCTCTGATTCAGGCCCAGGTCTGAGCTGACATCAGTGCTCCCTGCACCATGCACACTGCCTCTCCAAGTCGCAACCAACTTCCTTTCTTTTATTTTTATTTTTCATTGTTAACCACTTCTTTCCCATCCCCCTCACCCCTGCCACGTGGACCATCTCCATCGCGGAGCCATGTCATTGGAAGAAAATGTTTTCTTCCCCAGTCCTATTTCAATCGCTTACTTGCAAATCGCACTTAAAGTTTTTATTTAAAAAAAAAAAAAAAAGTTTTCTTTACTCTAACCTCAGTTGGAAGCTGGAAACCCCATCCGGTACTAATTAATAGTCACCAGCATTTTGGGGAAGCTTTTCTTTTTACAGAGCGTGCTCTCGTTCCATCTTCCAAGCAGCCCCATAAAGCAGGCAAATGTCATGTTCTTTCATACACATTTTACTGATGAGAATTGAGGGTCAGGGATATTGGGAGCTTGCCTTGACTCTAGTTAGCCAGCCGGGAGGGGCCTGGAGAAAAACAGGCATTTCCTCCTCTCCCACCCGCCCCGCTCTAGCTTCCCATCCCAGGCCCCTCTCTTCCATCCAGTAAATACTGTGCCAGGCGCTAGTTCAGAAGCCAGTAGGAGGCCGGGTCGCCACAAAGACCCCCGGGCTCTCACTCAGAGCCCACCACCAGCTTTCCTCTTGTGTTTAACAGCCTCTGTGGGCTGTGGGAGGTGGAGGATTTCCAAGAGAAGCTTCCAGTTTCCAGTATAGCTGTAACCATCACTAGAATGTACTCTAAATGTTCAGTCCTGACGGGGAGCAGAAGTCACCTGCATGCGTGCGTCTACCGGTGTGGATATCCACAGCTTACATACCGTGGATTTGGGGCTCCTGCCAGTGTCCTCCCCCTAAACCCTCCACTAGCACCATTGACCAGGAATGGTTCTTCCCTTCCTGCCGTCCTCCTTGAGGGGGGCCCCCAGCAGCCTCCGGGCCAGGCACAGGACGTGAGGCCACTGGTAGTGAGGTGGGAGTGGGTGGTCCACAGCAGGGGCCCAAGCAGGGTCCCCCAGGGAGAGAGGAAGGCTCTTGTGAGAGAGACTGGCCAGAGTGAGAGAGGTAAGGAGACTCAAGGGGTGGCCAGGGCCTCCCTTTGCCTTTTCCTCCATATCCCAGGG